CCCCGCGCCAAGGAGCCATGCTTTACCTCATCCACGAGGGACGAGTCCGGACGAGTCCAGCCGGGCCGCATTCCGAGCACGCGTGCATCCAAGTCTCTCCCCCGCATCGCCACCCCCTCACCGCTCAGCGCCGCCTCTTTGGCCGCTCCCCCCGGGGTGTGGTCCGCAGTACCTCTGCAGGCCGCCGCGGCTGCGGCTAGCGTGTCCGAGCCCTCCTCCTTGCTCCGGCTCCCAGAGGACGGCAGGCGCCGTTGTGTCGGCCAACACCTGCGTTGGCATCCGGAAGACGCCCCCCCCCCCCCATCTGCCACCCCTAGTTGGGCGACCGAGCAGTGCCACGGTTCCGTGCTCCCGTTGCGAATAAGAGAGAACGCCACACTACCAAAGCTGCCAAAGCCTGATTGGAGAAGAGTCTCCGCGAGGGGAAGAGGGAGAGAATAAGAGAGGAGAGGACAGGGAGGAGGAGGAGGAGGAGGAGGAGGAGGAGAGGAGGGAGTGGCTCCTCCACATCACACACACGTCACGTGTCGGCCCGATCCCCACTAATCGCACTTACGCCCCCCTAACGCCACCAACCCCTACCCCTCCCCGGGGGGGGGGGGGGACACCTAAACCCAAAGGAATATATGTGTGTGTTATACACGAGAGGAAGGGAATGGACAGGGGAGGGGGGGATGGCCAGACAGGAGGAGGTCTGAGGCAGGTGGCAGCGTAGAAAGCACCACAAAATTTGTACCACGCCACCCCTTCCCCCCGAATGAAACGTGGCACGGACGTGCTAGCAGCAGCAGGGGCTGCACGAGTGCCCGCCCGACCGGGGCTCAGGCGGCCGACGCGACGCGAGGGGGATGTGCGAACCCGTGCGTACTGGAGCTCCTCCTCGGGGGACGGGCGAGGAGGGGTGGAGCGCTACCAACGAGGCTGGTCGTCAACGTCCTCATCCGACGCAGTTAGAGATTCTGCGACTGACTGAGGCCAATATGCTGTGGGTACATTCAGGGCTAGGAAAACAGAGGAGGGGGGGGGGGCGGAATTGCAAGGAAGCAGGGCAAAGGAGAGACGGCAAGGGGGTGGTCGTAGTGGTAATACGAAAGGGGCGGCGGGGCTGTCCACCGCAACAGTGCCTCCCGGAGCTGCGCGGAGCTGCGCTGAGCGGCACAAGCCGAGGCACAAGCCTTGAGTTATGGGCCGTACATCATGCAAGTAATTACAAGTAGTCAGTCTCACAGCCATCACGATCGGCCGAGACGCGCGGATTATTATTTCAGCCGCGCCGTCACGCGCAATTTCAAACTGAAAACAGCCAAGCGCGAAGAAGAACGCGGGGCGCTGCTGGCCGTCTCGCTCGGAGCGAGGAGAGGGAGGGAGGGAGGGAGGGAGGGGGGGG